CTCCACACATGCTGGGGATTGAGCTATCGGAGTTGAAGAAGAATGGACCTCTTCTCCAACCTCAATCTTCCAGCTTTTTCCTGGGCGACCTCTCTCTAGGCTCCATTGGCTCATACACAGCACGCTGTGGTTGAAAGCATCCAACGTACAAGCGGGCAGACTTGCGGTCACGTGTCATCTACAGAAGTTTCAAGTTAATTAGATTAGAATCAATTGATTTTATAATAGAATAAGACAAAAGAAGCACAAAAATTTAGCAAATAGCAAGATCGAGGTGGAAAGCATGAAACAAGTGAAGCAAAGGAAGCTAAAAACGACCATTCTAACTAGGCTTGCGTCCTACAGTCAACAATGCTCTGATACCAATCTGTCACACCCAATTTTAAGAACAAAAGAGGATGTGTAAAAGTCTTATGTGCACCCCAGGAACAGTCGCACACATAAGTGGACAAATTGTAAATTGTACCATCACAATGTTTATTACATAGCGAATAATTATTCATCACATAGTCTCACACATAGATATAATAGCTACTAAGATAACTCGCTGGCGGAAGCTCCAACAGGAGGGGCGTCACTGGTGAACACCAAGCCTAATACTCGTCACGGTAATCTTCAATCCAATCTTGATCTGTTACCCATCCGGGATTTTTCCAATATAAAAGATAAAGCAAGGCATAAGTACATGTCGTACTTAACAAGATAACTAAGGGTTCATGAGGCTCAAATAGCTGACACTGGTTTACTGCGGTTAGCATTTAAGTCATCATCAAGTTTAGCATTTATTAACATCAAGATAGCAATAATCCCTTAACACATAATCAATGAACATGAATAATCAATATCTTAAACAATTAACATAAATGATCATCTTAACAAGTAAAAGTCATCATCTCTTATGTAAGTGTCCCAAGGCGCTTTCGATCAAGTGAGCACGGCTAGTATACCAGTTTGTTAACTCTCAAGGCAGAGGTGTACACTTTCACTTTGTGAGTCATGTTTTCCAAATGAGTGGGTTAATTACTCCCAAAACCGGAAACCATATAGAGCCACCCAAGAACTCGTCTAACCAAGCCGTGGTCGCAGGGGTCATCAGATATAGGAACCCCCTTCCAATAATATAAAAGGCCGCTTCAAAGCTAGGCACAACAGATGAGGCTGTCCTATACCCAACTCATGAGACCTCTAACCAGCTAGAAAAGGGTTTCTCAAATAACTAGAGCCAGAGCCATATAGCCCTCACGGTACAGACGTTAATCCCGGATAATCGGTTACAAGACAAGTCCTTCTATTGCTATAAAGTCATCTTGTATGTGTTTATAGCATATTCATTAATCAAGTTTCAAGATCATGTTTCGTTGCACTAGCAATAGAACTACCCAATGCAACCCTCCCAAGGTGACAAGGTGGCTGAGTGTTCAAAATCTAGGAATTCCTACCATAGGTAGCAAGGAAGACGCATGCATATGTATTTTAGTGAGCATCATGAATAGGACAACAAGGAAGGTCCTTAGCTATACTTGCCTTGATCAAAGTTCCCTGAAAATCTTTGTTGGTCTTGCTGGTCGTAGAAGTTCTCTTGTTCACCAACGTAAACCTCACCGCGTCGAACTCGATCAACAACACCAAGCAACAACATACAATCATCCGAGCAATCATACACGAGGCAAACAAATAGATTTAATTAGAACAGTACACCACCAGAAATAAAACAGTTTGAAAAGTGTATAAAAACATTCTACTTGTCACTACGATCATATAAACGCGAGGATCACGAAAAACGGAATTACGACGAGAAAGTTATGATTAAAACAAGTTTTCCTATTAAAGAAATAGATTAAATATAAACTCGAAATTTAAAGTTCAAAAACATGGTGAAAAACTATATGAACAGATAGATCTCGAAAAAGATGAATCTAACGCAAGTTGAATGCTTCGATTTGGAGTTAGAACGAATAAGTTATGAGCAATTAAAGGTAGTGGCAAAACTGTAATTAGATGGAACTTGATTCTTGAATCTATTAAATGAAAAATACGTTTTCCAAAAGAGAAAGCGTATTCTATGGAATCCGCTTTGGACCGCATGGGTTCAACATCTAAAGAACCCAGGGCTCTTTAGCCAAAAGGCCACCGAAGGGAATGCGGTGCGATTCGGACCGTTGGATCCAATCCGAACGGACCGGATTAGATCGGGAGGGAGGGGCGGCGCTGCCGACCGGAGAAGAAGACCTCCGCGGTGGTTGCCATCGCCGGCAGCCATCAAGCTCGTCGGCGGAACTTGTTCCGGCGATTCAGTGCACCAGGAGACTCCAGACCGGTACGGATCGAACCGGGGAAGGATGGGGGGCTCACCTGACGCGAAGATGGAGACCGAAGGAACCCGAGGCGAGCGTGGGGCTGTCGACAAGCGGACGGACGGCACACCGCAATGGCAGTGAATATTAGCGAGCAAAGCAGGCGAAAAAGGAAGAGAGAAAAGGCTAGGCGGCTTCGCAGACACGACGCGAAGCCCGGTGACTTGCATACGGCGTCAAACGAGCGACGAGACGGCGGAATCGAAGGCGACGGCGGCGCTTAGGGTTGCGGCTCGCGAGGTGCTCGGCGGGCGGCGGCTTATGCGCTTAGGGCTCGGGAAAAGCAGATTGTGGGCGCGGAGATTCGGCCTTTATAGGGGCGGGGGCGTGGCGTTGGGCGCCTGGCAAGCGTGTGGACTGCGATTCGGTCGGACTTGAGTTCGACACCGAACCGGAGGAGGAAGATGAGGCGGGCCCCTGGCGCCGTGACTAAGGAAGAAAGAAGGCGGCTTGCTGCTCATGGCTGATTGGGCCTTGGCCTCGGCCCAAGAAGAAAAAAGGAAGGAAGGCGGCTACATTATTTGGGCCGGGGAGGGAAGGGAGCAGGTCTACGGGCCAAATACTGTGCAAGGAGAAAAGGGAGGCTTTTACTTTTTTTCTCTCAAGCATTTTGAATACAATTTCAAATAGATTTGAATTCCTTTTGAATTTTTGGATAAAAGCCAATTATCACAAAAAAAATATGCACCAGCATGAATGCTCAAGCATGTATCTAACTTGGAGATTGATTTTATTTTTATAAATTTACTATTTGGCCTATGTGAAATGCTCTCATAAATAAAAATAAATCCATTTAGCCAATTTAAGTTTATTCAAATTTTAGGGTGTTACAAATCCTAAGATAATCAATTAGTATTTTCCTCTTCTTGCTGCTGCCCTGTTGCCGTAATCTCTCCATCCTGACCGTCTGTGTGCACCGGCGATCGAAAGAGCATGTCTCTGGAATCCTTGTCCTTGTGAATCATGCACCGACGCTCTTCGCGCAAATGGTCCCAACTTCTATGATAGGTTGTCTTACATCCATCCAAGATAGGTGGTGCTACATCTCGGGTATTCGTCGTTAGCTGCTCTGAGCTCTTCCTCCACTGCTCATCGACGACTTTGCACCACCACCACCACCATCTCCATCACCGGTAACGCTATCTTTCCTTGCAAACGAAAGGTACACACCACGTGATTCAATCTGTCCTCCCTTGCAAACGAAAGGTAGACACCACGCGATTCAATCTATTGCAGCCGTTTGTCTACTATGTTAATCATGATGATCTTCGTTATGTCGTTGCTAATGCTGTCCAATCTAACTAGTATGTTAGGGTTCTACGTGCTAATTTATGAGATTGTCATGATTTATATTTTGATATTAATTTGAAAATTGCCTAATTATTCAACAATTAAGTTATTGTTGTCCTGTCCTTCTACAATCACATGTTGGATAGCCTACGTTTTTTTTAAACATGGATAGCCTACGTTTACTGTGTGGGCAGACCGTCACGGTGGTACGCGAGGATTGCCAAAAAAAAAAAGACGACAAAAGGTTTTTTTTATAGAAAACTCCAAATTGTCATAACTCTTAGTGGGAGACTCTTTGTGCCGTTCGATCTATTGGAAATAAGAGTTGATTGGCTATTCAAATATCATCTTTCGAAGCCTCCAATCCAACTTTCGAAGCCTCCAATCCATTGTATTGGTGCAGACAACACCTGATTGTACACGGACACAATAACCATCATTTTTGTAACATGGCTGGCTGACCCTTACCATAAAGGAAATATGTGTGGTTGAGTTGATATAAATGGACCATCATTGGTTGTCCAAAGGCTACAATGACAAGTTTTGTCGGACAAATTTTGAAACCTAAAATAGAAGAAATTACATATAAAGAGTTATTAAATAAAAGAAAATTAGGAGTAAGGTAACAAGGTGGAGGGCTAAGGCCACTTGAAAAAGAATAGAAAAGCAATTCAACATGACATACCTCAGCCACAATTGGACCCTTAATTTCCATTTCTTAGCGTGCCAACGTTTTCAGGCAATTAGAATTTTACAAACTTCGACTGATTTAGAAAATAATGATAAAACTACAATGCAACATGCACAAAGGAATGGTATTAATTCATTCATAGATTACCCCTCCATATAGATAACATTTTATTGTTAGACTCCCGGCCATCATATATGAGCAGGAACTAGATCTTTACAGGATTAATTTTTTAGCTAAAACAAACACCAACACAATGCCAGCAAAATCAGTCACATGTCTGATTCAAACAATCCCTTTACGAAGCATCACTCCTTGCAATACAGAACATAATATTGGGTTGTGATTTCCTAATGCACTTCAAAAATTAAAAAATTAAATCGATTGAACAATATCTTAGTAACTTGTCACCTAAATTGCTGGTAGCGACAGTGTTTGAATATCGATAATTACATAGTAACATAGAAATTCAATGAAAATGGACCAACCTATTGCTGGTAACGACAGTGTTTGAATATCGATAATTACATAGTAACATAGAAATTTAATGAAAATGGACCAACCTAGTGTTTCTATGCTTCACCATTTCATTAGGACTTAATTGTTAAAATGGTGAAGCATAAAAGCACATCACAGAACATGTCATTCATTGCACCTATGAATCTATGTCACTGACATTTTAGTGTTCCAGCTATGTCTAGTTCGTCCAATGCCTCAGAAACATCTGCCGACCCTGATTCACTTTGGGTCTGTCCAAGTGTTTCCTTTAGCTTATCCAGAGCAGCCTTCGCAGCACGGTTCTGAGCTATCTCCTTCTTTTGACCATAAGTAGCACTTGCAACCAGCTCACCATCAACCAACACCTCAACCTTCAAACTCTTATTCCATTCATCTTTCACAAATTTCACCCCTCGCCGAGTCTTTTGGCAAAACTCAAAAAGCTCGGTTACAGGGTGCTTTCCTAATGTCTCTAAGCCAATAAGTGGATCAGCCAAAGTTCGAAAGACCTAACATGAGAAACTTAAATATCAGCAAAGTAACTTAAATATCAGCAAAGTGCTGACGCAAAAGCAATGATCAAGGTTTCTCAGAGAAATATATACCCGCCAAACCTCTTGGTCGAAGTTGGAGTCCCAGTATATGGCACCAATAAGAGATTCCACAATATCACACAAAACTTTAGGAGGATCCAATAGTCCATTTTTCTTCTATGAAAAAACAGATCTGGAGACGCAGAAGTGGGAAGTGGCGAGGGTACTGAGGTAGAATTTAGGCCATCCAACACCATGTTTACGTTTGGATTATCCAACACCATGTTTACGTTTGGATAAGATCAAGTTGATTATTTTTTACCTTTATCCATGTGCATAGCTTACAAATATTTGTATCAGGGACAAGAAAAGACACAAGACAGGTTAATTTTTTCATGATAAGAACTTGATACCCATCTTTAATATTTATGTTGCATTAAAAGTTGAAGCATTTAGCACTACAATGCATAAACAACTTGACGAGCCCACGTCTACAAAGATGAATTGTCAGGTGAGAATCCTGTAAAAAATTAATTTGCCAGATGAAATCATGAAGTTTATTGCTTTAATGGAGAAGACTAGCACTAACTAGTATATTACTATTAGCACAAGAAACACACACGAACATTTGTCTGAGTGTCTGACGGCAATCCCTCTCTTAATGAGGCCAGCTAAGTTACTTATAATGATGCTAATATGGATAAAGGAAGGGGTGGGGCATAGAAGACTGATTTGTGCTGATTTATACGGCTGATTTGTTGGGAGAGAAAAATACTGTACCATGGCTGATAAGCCGGCTTATTAGAGCAGCCGAACAGAGTGTAAATCTTGGCTTAACATGTTCTTAAAAATAATCTCGTTCAAAAAAAAATCTTTCTTAAAAATAAGGGCAACGCCAAGTTCATTCAGCCTGGTGCATGGGAGCTTTGCTTGAAATTTGTATAGCTGCTATATATAAATGATTAAGTTTGGCACCAGATCTTATTTGATTAGCATCACCTCTCCTAAAAATATGCCAAGTCTGATGCCAAAAGATATTGGAACAGAGGAAAAGGTGGAAACCAAAAGATTCTCTCCTTTCAGCGGAAAGTAATGGTAGGAGATCCTACCCAGGGCCCAGAAACCCAGCCAATAAGGACAGCACATGCCATTCGTTATCTGAACTGCACCTAGGAGAATTCCAATACACAAAAAGATATTACTGTCATGGCCCTGATTACCAATCCCCGAATCCGTTTGCCAATTGAATTGCAATTCTTAAGTCCAGTATAGATATTATAAAGAATCAGCAGGCAAAGGGACAAAATTGATCCTCTCCAAGAAGCTACAAGGGGCCGGATGAATTGGTTGTCGCTTTCCACAAACATCTATCCCAAGGCAATCACACCACACAGGTAGCGGCGGACAATAAAGTTAGTGTAGAAGCTGTTGTTGGAGTTTGGGTATACAACTGAACCTGGTCTTGGAGTTTGGGTGCCTTGTGGCGGAGGAAGCGGTGGAGGCCGCGGGTGGACAGTGACACGTGCGAGCTTCTCCGTGTCGACGTTAGCGGCGCGGAGCCTGGTGAGCGGGCCGGGCGGGAGGGTGCCGTAGGTACGGAAGACCTCCCGCAACATGAGGCAGGTGAGGACGCCGTCGCCGAGGTACTCAAGGCGCTCGTAGGTGTCCCCGAGGCGGTAGGGGAAGTAGAAGGAGCCATGCGTGAGCACGAGCTTAACAAGGGATTTGTCGGCAAACTTGTAGCCGAGGATGGCCTCGATGGCGGCCACGTCCTCGACGCTCATCGGTGGGACTTCCTCGGGGGGCGCGTGCCACTGCCGGTGCTCTCTCGGCACGTGCGGCGTCATTGGTGATGGCTGCTCGTCGTCTCCTCAGTGGCAGAGGGCGAGCGTGGGCACTGGTGAAAGCTCTAGTTTGGTTTTAGTGAATTGATGAAACCCTAAGTGCTAACCTAGTTTATCAAAGTGATTATGAGATAGGTAGCACTATTCCAAGTGTGGAGTAAATGGTGAAGATCATGATGATGGTGATGCCATGGTGATGATCAAGTGCTTGGACTTGGAAAATAAGAAAGAGAAAAATAAAAAGCTCAAGGCAAAGGTGAAACTTGATAGGAGCTTTTTGGTTTGGTGATCGAGACACTTAGCGAGTGTGATCATATTTAGGATCGATAGCCATACTATTAAGAGGGGTGAAACTCGTATCGAAATACGATTATCAAAGTGCCACTAGATGTTCTAACTTATTGCATATGCATTTAGATCCTAGTGAGTGCTAACACTCTTGAAAATGTTTGTGAAAATATGTTAATACACGTGCACAAGGTGATACACTTGGTAGTTGGCACATTTGAGTAAGGGTGAAGAAGTTGGTGAAGTCAGGGAGCTCACTGGAGCTGACCGGACGCAGGACCGGACACTGGACCTGCGCGTCCGGTTAGTGTTGTCTCGGTGGTGCTGCTTTCGGCCAGTGATCGGGCTCTGGCGCGTAATGGCGATCGGACGCGCAGGGCTAGGGTTCGATTGTTGCTGACGTATGGTGACGTGGCATTGGCACATGGCTCGAGTCAAGACCTGACTCTGGCCGAGTCCGGTCGGTGGAGATCGGACGCGTCAGGTCACGAAAAAGGGGCTCGGGGAGCTCTCTCGAAGTGACCGGATGCCACGTTGGTGGTTCGTCCTATTAGTCCACGGAGCGTCAGGTCGCAGGCTTCGCTGCTCGGTCGAGTGTGCGATCGGACACGACATTGACACGTCAGGTCATTGTGGACGTGCGTCTGGTCGTCACTTAAGTGAGGCGCGGGCGCAGTTGACCGTCGGAATCTGACGGCCCACATTCGAAGCGAGGACACATGGCAGCAGATCAGCGACCGGACGCTGAAGGTGGTGCGTCCGGTCACATTGACCGGCGTGTCCGGCCGTCCCAAGAAGTGTGCAGTGAGGAGCCCAACGGCTCTATTTCGAGGGGGGCTCTATTTAAGCCCCATGGCCGGCTCAAGCTCACTCTCTTGGCTATTTGCATTGACATAGCAACCTTGTGAGCTTAGCCAAAGCCCTCCCACTCATCTCCATCATTGATTCATCATCTTTGTGAGATTGTGAGTGAATCCAGGTGCATTGCTTGAGTGATTGCAACTAGAGGCACTTGATGTTTGTGTTTCGCTGTGGGTTTCGCTTGTTACTGTTGGTGGTTGCCGCCACCTAGACGGTTTAGAGCAGCAAGGATTGTCGAGCGGAGAAAGGTGATTGTCTCCGGCTCTGATCATGGTGATTGCGAGGGGTTCTTAACCTTTCTCCGGCGGAGAGCCAAAAGGTACTCTAGTGGATTGCTCGTGGCTTGTGTGATCCTCATCTTGTGTTGGTTGTGCGGCATCCTATTGAGGGTTTGACGTGTGATGCCAATTAGCGTGTGGACTTCCAAGTGAGTGAATCGCCACAACGAGGACTAGTTTGCCGGCAAGCAAGTGAACCTCGGTAAAAAATCTTATGTCATCTTGTCCGAGGATTTCTTGGTATTCATTGTGATTGATTGGCTCCATCATTGTGATTGGCTCAATTCCTCTACATGGCGGTATAATCATCATATCCCCTACCTTGCATTTATATTTCTAGTGTTACTTCGCTCTTTAATGTAATTAGTTTTGAGAGCAACCTTATGTCGGGTCTAGTGGTTAGTGTGGCTCTTTAGTTAGTATTTGAGAGCACACTAACTTAGTGTAGTGACATAACCATTGTGTGCTTAATGATCATAGACACTAAAATTATGGTAGTTGGCTTGCTTTTTAGTAGGCTAGCGTAATACTCGTTTCACCGTTTTATTATCTAACTTATTGCTAAGTGTTGTTGTAGAAATTTTCAATAGACTATTCACACCCTCTAGCCGTTCGGACCTCATAGCTGTGGCCATATGTCGATCGGGAGGGAGAGGGGGGGGGTTATCAGAAAGGAGTGCAGTGCGGTGGTTGCACGCGACACGGGTTTGGATTTGGGAGGTCGGTCGATTGGGGTCAGATGGGAAACAGCCAAAGGCGGAAGCCGGGTTGGGGATCGGAGCGAGAAAATGGTTAATGCCCGGCTGCGGTGGCTGGGACGTGCGGGTTATTATTTTCTTTAATTTGGAGACTTGGACATTTGCCTCCGCATGACGCTAAAAAGGAGAGGGATGGAGTTGGACACCGAATGTGTCATGTGTAGGTGGTTTGACGAGGATGTGGCACATATATTCTTTAATTTGGAGACTTAAAGATGCCAGCGATGGTCGATGCCGATCTCATGCAGCGGTGGATTCAACGGTGGGGGGGGGCTCCCCCAAAATCTAGGAGCCCTAGAGCCCCCATAAATTTTTAGGCAAAGTTTTATCGTGTAGGTAGGGCTAAGACTTAAGATCGAGCAGCAGTCGGAGGTATATTGATGTCGTACTTTTGTTCAGCCCTCCTAAAATTTTTTCTGGATCCGCCGCTGATCTCATGTGTATTGGTTTGTCAAGTGGAAAGCGAGTAATCGAAACATTGCAATGGAGACACATAGGGGTAATTGGTGAATGCTTGCATGGTAATTCCGGGCTGCGTCAAGAAACTAAAAAAAAACAACATTAACTTAGGATTATTGGGTTTAAATTAGTTCAACTTAGTGACTAATTACTGATTAGGGGCCCTAGTTTTGGGGGCCTAGTGTGGTCGCGGCACCTACGCCTCCCAATGTATGGCCCTGGCAGGATCCGCTAAAGAAATGATCCAGGAAATCCTGAAAATGAAAGAGGGGTTATAGCTTGTTCGTTTTGTTGAAAAGAAGCTGGAAAATACTGTTCACTAATTTATTGTGAGAAAAAATATTTTTCCTTCGCTAGATACGGCCGAAAAGACAAGATTGGCATATGCAATACTCAGCTATGCACGATTGGCATATGCAGTACTCAGCTATGCAGAGATGTCTGCTATCAAACAGAGGACACCAGGACCTGCAACCTGTCTGTCTTGACAGGCCACCGTGGAAGCGACCACCAGCCAGTTTTGTGAAGATAAACTGTGATGGGGCTTTCAAGTGGGCATGTTTAGATGGGAATTTTTTTGCAAAATGACATTGTAGCATTTTTGTTGTTATTTAACAATTAGTGTTCAATCATAGTCTAATTAGACTTAAAAGATTCGTCTCGTGGATTTCGTCTAAACTATGTAATTAGTTTTATTTTTTATTTATATTTAATGCTTCATGCATACGTCCAAAGATTCGATGTGAGGGAGAATGTTGAAAAATTTGATATTTTAGAGTGGAACTAAACGGTACCCAAATTGATCGCTCGGGAAGTTGGGTTTTGTTCTGCGGGATTGTGAAGGCGCTGCTATTGCGCTGGATGTGGCCGGATAGAGAAGGTGCCGGAGGCATTTCATTCTGAAGTTATTGCCTGTTTGCAAGGCCTAATGAGGGCAGCCGATTTGGGGATTTCGAATGTAATCGTGGAGACAGATGCTTTGATTGTTAAAGAGGCTGCAACCACACAAAAAAAAATTGGCACCGATGTTTCAGTAATTCATGTTTCCATGTTTTAGCGCGTGTTTAGTTCCAGGAACTTAGAATTTAGGGTTACTGTAGCACGTTCGTTTTTATTTGGTAATTAGTGTCCAAATATGGACTAATTAGGCTCAAAACGTTCGTCTCGTAATTTCTCATCAAACCGTGCAATTAGTTTTTTTTCGTCTACATTTAATGCTCCATGCATAGGCCGCAAACATTCGATGTGACAGGTAATGTATCAACTTTTTGAAATTTGGGGTCCAACTAAACACACGCTTAAAAAGAAAATTGAAATAACTAATCGTCTTGCACTCATAAATGAAGAATGAAGACCTCATCGTCTTCCACAAGGTGAGATCGGTTCGGTACGTCGTTAAAGCATCGTGGGGGGGGGGGGGGGGGGGGGTTGACTACCATGAGTCCATGATTTTGACAGATCATAAAAACTATCGTGAGTATCTGCTATTCTCCTGTGCATACAACTTTGAGTATACTGATTCAGTGATTTGGATAATCATGTGTGTTCTTTAAGACAAATATGCAGGGCAAAAATTTAGTATTGGCACTACTAAAGAATTGCTGGCCAAATAAAATCTGGTCGAGGAGGACAAAAAAGGGGGAATTGCAAGCGGTAAACCTAGGCACAATCCCACCTAACGGCCTAGCAGAACGGCTCATCAGAAAACACCATCCCGTAACACCGGCTTTGGTCGCCAACCCGTTCGCCCGCGCCTGCCGCTGCGCCGTTTGCTGTTGCACGTGCACGTCTGTCCCCGTCTGCCTCGTCCCGTCTCGCATGCATACCCCGCCCCGCTCCCCCCTCCTCCCCCCCACTCCTTCCCCCTTACCCCCTCCTCTTTCTTTGCGCGGGCGGGACTCAGGAGCCAGGATGAGGATGAGCACGCCCCGTCCGCATGACCCCGAGCGCGCCGCGCACCCCATCTGTTGGCCCCGACTCGCTGCGCCCCTTCCCCCGGCGCCAGGGCCATGCCCCATGACTCTCTAAACATACCTCTTAAACACGAAACACTTGCAACGTGAAACACTTGAATGCAACATACATCTGAAGCAGATGAAAATTTGGAACATACACTTACAACATGTGTGTGAAACATATTAAACATCCAGATAAAACACTTGCAACTCGCAACATGAAACAGTTATTGCAACATAAGACTGAAATAGCTGAAACATTTCGAACATACGCTTGCAACATATGTGTGAAAACATGTACAACATCCAGATAAAAACGCTTGCAGCATACGTCTGAAACAGATGGAATATTTTGAACAAACGCTTGCAACATGACTCTGAAACACTTGCAACATGACTCAGAA